CTCTTTTCTATGGGAACTGATGTGGAAAACATACATCTGGAATCTGGTAATTCTGTGAAAAATACCCATTTTCTATTCCGATCCTTTAGTTTTCCTCCCTAATTTATATCGCCCTATATAATCTACTTCTGCAATTTCTATTTTTCTAAATGGTTCGCAATTTGGGATATTTGAGATAAAGAGTCTGTACGGTACATTATCTATTTTATTTTAACATAAAATATTGTAATTAAATTCCTCACTGAGATAATCAAGACACAAACAAACAAAAACATAAAAACAAAGAAAGCAGAACTACTTTTATCAACTGAGTCCGTTAACACATTAAAGTCGGCAAATTCATGGCTTAATATTGTGGTATGGTAAGCATAGTGGCTCGACTTTATACTACTCTAGCATTAACTCCAAGGCAAATGCCAAAAAATTCAAATAAATAAAGAGTACGTCAACGAGTACAACTTACAAATTAGTTAACTTCGTCAGACTTGAGAACGTTCCAGTTTCCAGTTTCTGGATTTTGTTACCATGAAGATATCTGCACAATGAGAGAACAAAAGAATTGGGTGGACATAAGCGCTAAAATTTCCTATCACGATACTATCACTCTTAATTGCCCAAAACGCTCTTTAAGATCCTAAAAGGATATTTTTCGCACAGAAAAATGTTCGTTTTCATTAGTTACTTTGTTTTCTGCCGTTCAAAAGAGGCCAAAAGAATGACAAACTCGAACTTCCCGTGTCCGCCATTTTTATCGGTGTACAAGGCTCTCTGGGGTGATGACGTAATATGATTGCTACAACCAGTTGCAAAAATTTGAGAGAGTCTCACGAAAAAACAACCTTTCATGATTCAAATCGCTGCTAGTCACAATTCCGTGAGATATAATACTGACATCCCTCCATTCAAAGTTGTTCCTCCAAGTTAGCTTAGTCTTGTATTGCTAGCAACTTCGATAAGGGGGGGAGGGGGGTCACAAGCACAAGATCATTGACAGACCATTTAAGCCAAAATGCGGTACAGTGTCTCAAGTACTTTTGCAACTGGTTGTCTCATTAAAGATTTTCTTCAAAAAAAGGCGATTTCCACGTCTCAACTTCCCAAAACGAAGACTACAGCGAGAAAAAAAATTGAGTGACACTTTCTGTTGCTTTTCCTAGCTGACACATCATTGTCATTGATAGCAAACTGCAGAAAACAGCGCTTAAGAATGTAGTGACTTTTAGGTTTTGCCTCAATTTTGTTGTAACGCATGTGCTATTATCTTCCATGACATGGCTTAAAGTTCCGGCGTTGTGATTTAATTCTGAGAAGTGTAAATGCATAATCACAGCATAGTTTTCCTTTTCTTGGTATTTAGAGATATTATAGTTGCGAATAAAGGTGCCAAACCTTCATTTTCACCCCTTACATTTGAAGTGTTGTTATGTAATGGGTATACTGCTTGACTTACTTTGAAACACCGCTATAAAAGTAAAACCCGGAAGCTTTTGGGCAGACACAAAAAGAAAGCATACCGGATAGGGCTTCTGTTAACGCAAAGAAGGATGATTTCCGCACGAAAAAGCAAAGCTGCGACGCACCGATCTCTAAACAGGAGAGTCACATACCGGATTTGTGCTCATACTTTACCGGATAGCTTTTTGTGTCTGCACTAAAAGCTATCCAGTATAGTGTAAACTTAACCTTAAGCATTGCTGTTGTTCTCGTTCTGGCCGTTTGCTACTACACCCTTCTCCACCCCTCTAAATTGGATTACGTGACTCTGTTGTAGCAGTCAGATGTAATATCTGGTAATATTTTCGGATACTATATTCTAAGAAATGTTTAACAAATAACTGAGACGTCGAAAAAGATGCACTCCTAATGAAAAAGCCCGAAAGTTGATCAAAGAATTGTATTCGTCCTGTAAATACGTTGACAGTTGGCGCGCTGTACAACTACAAGTTACAAAGACAAAGATCAAAAGACTCGATAATCGGGCTAAAATGGCCTTTGGACTCGTCTTTTACAGCAGATTTTAGGGTAAGAAAATTTCAAAACGGGTTCCTATCTTTTTAATTCAATCTATTGTGTGTTTAGACAAGTGAAGGGAATAAATTTTGTCCGACTCGCAACTTTAAAGTTGACCGCGGAGCTCAAATATCTTCATTTTTAACAGATTTTGTAAAGCTCTCGCGTCGCTAGTAATCATTTGCCAAAGAAACTTTTTACAGGAATCTGTAGGCCATTCTTCTAACATTCAACCACCACCAGCTTAATCGATTTGAAGGTCTCGCACATGGTGAAAATTATGTTTTTTCACGCATTACTTTTACTGAAGTAAATTGTGTACCTTCGAAATTGAATTATTTTGTATACGAAGAACAGAGCTCTATCTCCCCAAATCATTTCAACAGATATTTAGAAGTTGTAAAAGAAGACTGTGATGTTTTAAAGACCGTGGAGTAAAACGTTTTTTGGTGATCCTAGATGGCATCTGTCTACTTGCAGCTAATATCACGGTAAATTACTACAGCGGCAACTGTAAACAATAAAGCAAAAAATAATTGTGTGACAATTTTTGCAATAAACGTAGAGTAGAAATGAGAAAAATAAAGTAATAACCAGAGAAGTCATTTCTTGAAAAATTTATCTGAAAATCCAGCTGTTCTGTACTCAAATTAAATTCGCATTACAATTCCAGCATAAAGTGTCCGAAACTCAACTAAAATGTTTTGACCGATGAAAGCTACACAACAAAGCTGTATCGAATCTGAGCGCGTTTCCTGTAAAAAATTGCCTGAATTTAACATCAACTTTACCAAAAAGTCAATAACACAATGCTAATTAATGCATTTCCATTTCAAAGCAGACTTTCTTTACTATAAAAACATACAAACTGAAACAAACTGTACGTTAAATTTCGGGCTTAAATCTTGAAAAAACTTCGCTTACTCGGTTTTTCTTCTGAGCTACCAGCCGCAAAAAAAACCGTGATGAATTTCCCCAGGGAAAATTTGTCGATTGATCTTCTCACTTTTCTTCAAAACGACAACTGAGTGTTTTCTTTAACTTCCACTTTTCATTCGTTTATTTCATAGGTGCATTTCAAACCGCACAGGAGAGAAGAATTTGCCTCAATTTTACCGCGCTAGCTTTTCTTGGTGTGCACCAACGGGAAAATGGCAGATGGCTAACTGACCAATGAGAGCGCGCGCTTTACTTTTGTTTTGTTATAACATACAGTAAACTATGAAAGCATCGATCTAAAACCTATCAATTCGTTTAAACGACCTTAAAATGGCACAAGACCTCATGTTATTCAGATTTTACCCGCATTTTTTTTCACGAGAATAAGACAAAAGGCTATAAGGTCATCGGCACTAATGCATTGTACTTCACACTCATGATTTGAAATTTAACTTTAAAGAAGCCTAACCGGTGCGCCATATACTAGTCTTGTTATCCTTTACATATTTTGTATTCTGATTTATGCTGAATCCATGCTTAGAGATGCTTAAGTGATGGTATTCGAGTGGGAAGCCAGCTCATTTAAGAGTGTGCTTTGCAGCTGAAAGCGCACAGTTCGGTTAAAGGTCTCCAGCTTATAATGGAAAAAATCAGGAGGTCGCAGAGGAATACAGTAAGAACATCAACGTTGGGAAGACGAAGACTACTGCGGAATTCCCTTTTTTTCTTGAAGGTAGACAACTAATTAAAGAAAAGCAATTAACCTATCTCGGGAGTCCGATTACACAGGATAGATACTGGGAGGAGAAAGCGATTAGATCGAAAATAACCCGGGCGAAGAACTCGTGTTCTTGTAAAAAGAAGAATTCATCGAGCACAATGGGCCGAAATCACCCGGGACTTATTATAATCTCATTTCTTTAAAAACTGATGTAAGAAAAAGGCCTACATCTGGAATGTGGTAACTCTGACCCCGCAATGGGGCGACATCATCCGCGACTTCAAAATGTGGCACGCAATAAACGTAAATGGCTTCTCAGAAGGCTACACAATAGAATGGTCAAAACACGGCCAACAGCGCGGACGATCTTTAAGCTGGTGACTTTACTATCATCGCTTCTAAAAAGTTAGCACATGGAGAAAATAAATAAGACCATTTCTGAACCGGTCGCAAATTTTGTTTAAATTTGGTCTATTCAGGAATTCTTTTGTATGGGAACGGTACTGAGAGATGTTTCGACGTTGACTTCTTCTCCGCTAAAGTACTCTTCACAAGAGTTAAAATATTGGTGGAAAGAGGAAGCGAAATTCGACTTTTGAAATTTTCATATGACGTTTTCTACCATTCTTGCCAACCCTCGTCTCATTAACACGAAACATGGTGCGAAAAAAAAAATCTTCGAATTCCTTTCGTGGCGAGTTTTCAATACGGCGTCGTAAATAATTCGTTTTTCCTTGACAACAAACATGGTAACTTTTGTAATTCAATTCTGAGAATGCATTTCAAGTTAACAATTTCATAAGCCTGCAAAAATATTTCACGTTATTGCAGTGTTAAAACCTTAACAGAAAACATCATCATCATCTATTTTGTCTCATAATAATGGTAATAATAAAATATTAATTATTATTACTAAATATCATTATTATTAGTAATAAATAATAATAACAAAATGACAAATACAATGATAAATTGGTAACACTTACAAAGATATCAGTTGTGCCATGTTTGAGAAAATCCCCGCATCTAATTGCTGAATTTCATTGGAGTATAAACTTCTGTAAGCAGGTAACGAAACAAATTACAACACAACTTGGTTTCTCAATCGATTTACTGGGGAATTATCCCTGTAAATATGACAACCAAAATATTAATATTTATTCTCGCGAAGCGAGTGGCCGAATGCCGCAAGCGGAGCGAGTTTATAATCTCGTCGCGCGCATCACGTGAACCGCGCGTGTTCTTAGCCGGATGCAAAATTCGATGCGCCATAAATCTCGCTATGAATATATTCTTGGTGTCCGCCAATGACTTCATGTAGGGCTAAACCATGGAGCATTTTGCGTTTCCAGGCAACATAGCCTTTGCAGTTGATGACTAGCGCATTTTCACCTATTATTCATGAAAGGCTCATGTGTTGTTTATTCATCTATGAAACAATGTTTACAATCGGTGAATCACGAGCAATTTCCGATTAACATAACACAGAACGGCAAGCACAATAAGTGGCCGGAAATCTTCAATTTTCAACCGAAACTCCTCTGGAGAATGCCGACTAAAATTCATCGCAAGCGGGGAAGACGACAACAACATGAAGCCGCGCACAAAGCACAGAGAACATCGCTTAGCACAGCGAAGGCAACGTCGTCAACACAGCGACCGCAAACATGTACAGAGGCAGCGGCAAAACACTACAATTACACTGCCAATGGAGCCGATGAAGAGAGGGAACACCGACTGCCGACGCTTCAAAAAGCGATGGGGAGATCAGGCAACGCTTACAGTTTACAGCAAAATTATCTTTTTAAGAACGCTATCTTTTTAGAACACTAATCAGCCGAAAAGACAATCAATCGGCGAAGCACCTTTATCAAAATTTCCTTGTAATTGCAGATGATCGATAATGCATTAAGTGCAGGGACTTTATATCGATAAAACTTCCCCTTATTAGTATGCGGCGTTTTATCAGATATGAACACACTGCACGTGACTTATGAGTATTAATTATCAGCACAGCAACTGACACAACAAATGGTGGGTGAATATTTAATGTTCTTTCAAAATTACACACGCGGTAAATTTACTATTGCACAAAATCGACTTTGTTCTTTCAGCCAAAAGTTCAGTGACTCAGTGGTAATATTGGCTAAAGAAGTATGCAAGACTTTTCAGTTGTGAGGACGCAAGGCTCGAGTACTAGATTTTTGTTTTCCTACCATTCAGCCACTCCAGAAAATCTTTTCAAAGGCTACTTTTTCACTACACGTGCTGACTTTGGGGTATTATTTTCGATTAACTTCATCTCTTTCCCGGCATTTTTAGGCTTCTGAAAAGCTCTGGAACAGGGCGCCATGTCCTCGGTTAGTGTCGTTCGTAGAAGAATAGTTCTAACCGCGTGTGGCATTTGGTTTTCTTGCATGTATAATTTCATATCTAATATTTTTTTCGTATGCTAATTTCAAACTTTCACAAAAGCGTCATTGTTATCAGCTCCATTGAGACACGCCTTTCCAGGAATGTCTTTGAAAACGCTCAATAAACTCGCAGCACATGTTTTATCGGGTCCAAATTCACTCGCCTTCAGCTTGTGATTTTAAACCTGATAAAAAAACTGATGCTCGTTTATTAAACGTTTATTAGCCCCACAGCTAAGTAAATCTATCCACCCTAGAAAATTTGGTAATCGCGACACCGTACACCGACTGATCGTTCGTCCGCACCACAGGGGAACCAATCTTTAACCTTATTCTCACACTTTCTAGCTAGTTTGGGAGCCCAGCTGCAACCTGATATTGTAAATCCATGTTGTGATCGATTGACGACTGTCAAGACACGATATCCAATGACCAGTATCACCTAACCGAATCGCGAGCTCAGGTCCAGTATTTTCTCACGTTACCCGCTGAAAGGTTACTAGTTTTCAAATGATCACAGGCTCAGGTTTGATTTTTTAAAACATAGTAAATCTACCTGGAGTTATGAAAACCGGGTTAGCAAACATTCTGTAAATTTTCTCAACTTCCCCTGTCTAATAGCTTGTTTACTGTGTTGTTTGCATATGTCCTTTTTGTGGGGGGCTTGTTTTGTAGTTAGGGATTTGTGTAGAAGTGGATGTAGACAGAAGTACTATCTCCCCCCCCTCCCCCTCCCAATTTTTCCGGCTTTTCTCGTCCCTACCCATAATTCTCTCTTAAACACAAGTGACAGTTATTTCAAATCAGTGCGCGCCTGTGACATTGCAACCTGGGTCAATGATCTTATTGACGTCCACATACAATGATCAACGTTCTTCCCTTCTTTTTCCCCAATGCTGGCAGCGAAAATGGGTCCACTCAGCTCAAAACTTATTCCTTAACAACATCGGGAGAAAAGAAGAGAAGAATCATTGGCAAGTGACCTAGCTTAAGTGTCACAGATTAATGATTTACGTTGTTCCACCTTATAAGAGAAGAAGAACAAGTGAAAAAGTAGTGTTTTGCTGACTATTTCAGTTGTTATGTAAGCCTTAAACCAGGCACTCGTTTGCTGCAGTTCACTGAAGTGAACAATTTCTAGTCTGAAATGGCACCGGTTTGAAACCTCACGAAGTCAGATTACTAAACAAATGTTCTAAAATTGGCTTCATTTTTAATGTGGACTCGTTGGAATGTTTAGGGACCATTAACTTACTGCCCGGGGTCAGATAAAGGCTTTTAATTGGTCTTTGAATGAATTTTATCGTTTTAAATTGCCAAGTAGAAGAATGAGTTGACATTTTTGCTAACCCGGTTTTCAAAAATCCAGGTATAAATAAATTGTGTTGATGAGCCGCACTATTAAAATTTTGATTTCAAACTGACCTCGAACGCAAAAATTCAGCCAGCTATTACAGGCGGGGCAAGGAATTGTTACTTTTGTCTTTCATCGCCATGGTCACCCGTTGGTCACGCTCTATGTCCTATTTTTATGATCTCATTGGTCAAAATTGGACAGTTGTGTTCAGGCGGAAAATTTATGCAGCATCTGGAAACTTGTTTACCGATAGCTGAAGCTGACAGAGTTTTGTGCAGTCCTCTTGTGATGTATTTAATTGTCTTAGCCCACTGGATGTACAAAATAAAATGCAGCTGAGTTGCTATCAAGATTCTTCTATTATTCATGGCTGGTTTGTTTATTGGCTGTTTGGTTGAGATATGCGCCGCTCTTCTAAGTCCTCGGGAATCCGATTTCAGAGGAGACCGTTATCGTTTCTCACCTTGCTTGATGCGTAAGAGGGTTGAAAAGTCTCAAACGATTCTGACCTGTATTGACGGTTTCAGGAAGTGCATCTCGACTGGTAAGCCTGAGTAATTCTTGTATTTGACGTTTTCTTTTGTTCTTTTTTCTGGTTTCATTAAGGCGAGCGTAGTTTATGTGGCTCTAGTTTATGCATGTTTGTAAGATTTAAGACAATGATCGACCTAGTATCAGGTTTGATGTAAGCTTTCAGAACTTTAAAAAGCCTTTAGACATTTTCTGACTGCAAATAGAAAGATAACGTTCCGAAGAATATTTAGTTATAATTTTGGCTGCAAAACGAAAGCTTTGAGCGTGAATGAAAATTGCTGTCTCTGTAACTGTTTCACCGAATTATATTTTTATTGATTGTTAGAAGTCTCTCTTGCAATTTCAATTGTTTTCAGTCGTACATGAACATAGCTTGCAGGAGTACCCAAAATGCCGCGCGTATCAAACGGTTTTAAAGATTGCACATAACAAAACCATTAAATAAAAAAGAAACGTAATAAATTCTTTATTATGTTGAAGCGTAACTCTATTAATGTTCATTTAAACACTTACCAGCTCGCACTGCCAATTTGGCGCTTTTCAAAAGTGAGAACCGGCTAGTCGTACAGGTGATTTTGGAAATTTTTGGAACGGTTTGGCTAAAGACCCATTATTACCCTGCATACTACAGAGGAGCAGCTTGTTCTGACTGAACAGTCCCGACATTATGGAATAATTCTCTTCATGAAAACGTTTTATAATGTGGTCAATTTTTTAGCGCGTGTTTCTATCGTCCTGAATATTGAACGAATGGAATTTGTCTTGCAAACTTGTGAGAAACTGTATTTTGCCTGAGGTCTGTATGATAAAAACAGCGCCTCATAGTACTGTTTACCTCAGATGTGATGCATAAAAAGTATATAAGGCTGGTTTACACGCCACCAGACTTGTTGGCAAGATTTTGTAAATTAAACTTGTCGAACGCAAAAAATTCGGCCTGATTTTTTATTTTGTTCTCCCATTTAGACAGAGGATCACGATCCTCGGCAACCTATGAATTACAACGTGTAAATTGGCTGCCACCTAGGACTATCTTGTCTTATAACCGGTTCTTATAGCATAGAATTAAATTTCGATTCTCCAATTAATCCAATGAATTAAAGGTGGTGTTGGTGGCCAATTGGGTTGTTTTGTTGTGAAGAATTTGTTTTCCAGGCCTAATCTACTGTGATCAAGAGCCATCATGGCTCTTGACTGCACATATGGCTCTTGACTGGGATCGAAGATAATTGCTATTTTTTTGGTGTATATATCAGGCTATTAACTCGATGTAAGATTTGTTACACACTTGGACTGTTTGCGAATTATTTTTCTCTAAAATCACTTAGCCTTTCCCTCCCTCAAAAGACACATGAATGTGCCCTAAGTTAACTACTTTGTGAATTACAAGCTTATTGTTTGATTTAAATTGTAAATTTATTAATGGAGATTCACTTATAGCCCTGAACAGGAGATCTTGGCCAATTAGCTACCAATGGGAAAGGCTCCCGGGCGAACGCTTGAGAAACTCGCTTTTGACCATAGAGGTTATTTTTAAAAAAAAAAATAGATAAGTGATACTATTTGAGTCTTTTTTTTTACATCAATGTTACAGCAGGTACTTCGGTGAATATTCCTCTAGGCAATTCTTGAACTAAGTTGCATTGAAGATTTTTTTTTTGGTAAGGATGTAACATTCTTCCGGCTCAGTCATTAACCCCTTGCTTCATGGCACCTTTTCTAAAGTTCACTTCGGGTTTTTCATTAATGACTTTATTCTCCTTGTAATTTTCCTTCTCATTTTTTTTGAACTGGTCAGTTTTAGTTTAAGGACTTTTCTGCTTGAAATGATATTTATGTTACTAGAAATACGTATCTCGCATTAACCCTCTCAAAACTCGGTTTTCAATAGCGCCAGTCAATTAAATCGTGTCAAGCGGGCTTAGGAATTGTATGGGGAACCCGCCGCGAATATCCTGTTTTGAAGCTGCCAATTAAAATGTTTCTGCTGATAGCATCCGAAATTTTTTCCCGAGTCATCGGTAGTTCCTTCGTTTCTGGCTTCGTTTCTGGAAGTAGATATGAAAGTTTCCCTTTCACGCACAACCTTGGTGAACGAATAGAACAGGTATGGCGAAACAACAGCAGTTGTGTAGGAATAGACGAAAAGAACTCAACATATGCTGTTCGACAATTGGCACAATAATAGAAGCATTTTTGTGCCCAATCAGGAGCAACAATTCGCTTTAATGTTTTGAAATGGTTTGGTGAAATTCGGTACACAGGGGCTCTTCCGCTCGTGCTCTTCGCGCCTTTTCTCTCGACCAGACAGACTGCCCCTGGGGCTCCGAAGATGCTTGTTCTTCTTCTTTCTATATTTTCCTGTTTTACAGAATCAAGGATTTGATCAGGCTTACGTTACTTACCATTGTATTGCTTATACAACTGGGCCACCTCTGTTCTGAAACTCCACAGTGAAAAAATCAAGCTGGAGAGGGGTGCAAGACAAAGTGGCAATATATAGCCTAAACCTTTCACAGCATGTCTCCAAGATGCTATCATAAAGAGGATCGACTTGGAAGGCAGAGGCATAAATATGGACGGTGTTTTATAGAATCAAGGATTTGATCAGCCTTACGTTACTTACCATTGTATTGCTTATACAATGGGGCCACCTCTGTTCTGAAACTCCACAGTGAAAAAATCAAGCTGGAGATGGGTGCAAGACAAAGTGACAATATATCGCCTAAACCTTTCACAGCATGTCTCCAAGATACTATCATAAAGAGGATCGACTTAGAAGGCAGAGGCATAAATATGGACGGTGAATACCTCTCCCACCTAATTTTCGCTGATGATATCATCTTGTTTGCTAAGTCACCAGAGGAGCTTACAACTTTGCTTACTGACATTCATAGTACAAGAAAACCAGGCCGGCCTCAATTTGCATCTTGGCAACACCAAGGTGATGTTCAATGAACATGCCAAAAAGTGCAAAATTACTACTGATGAAGAAACCATCGAGGAGGTTTATAGTTACGTATAGGAAAGACGGTGACAAAAGATGGTGACCTACTTCCTAAGATTATAAAGAGGATCGCACTTGGTTGGGCAGCCTTAATTTGGTAAAGTGGATAACATCACGAAAAGCCGCAAGGCAACAATGAAGATAAAGAGGACGATACACGGCGAGTATATTCTACCAGTAATGAAATATGGATGCGGGACATGGGCTCTGAACAACGCTACGATGGATAAACTTGCGGTCCCACAGCGTTAGATGGAACGCATGATGCAAGGCATTACCCTTTGAGATCGAAAGTGGAACACCTGAAACCGGCAAGAAACTGGCAATATCATCAACGCTATCAGAAAAGCAAAGCATAGATCGGCTGTCTGATAACCGTTGGACAATCAGAGCAACAGAGTGGACCCCAAGAGATTGGACCAGAAAACAGGGTCGTCCAAAAACAAGATGAAGAGACAAACTCACCAGACAGATCGGACCCTTATGGTAAAGATTAACCGAATACAGACACGTGTGGCATCGATCCAGGGAGGGGTTCCTTTCCCCAAATCACCTTTTCGTCCAGCCGGACGGGTTCTTACTTTTGAAAAGCACCAAAATGAAAGTTTACAAGGTGAAAGGTTATTTAAGTTCTAGAGTGAGCCGATATCCCAACTCGACTTCCACATTCCAAGTATTTTGTTCAATTATCAGTGGAGATACCTCTGAAAATCCTGGACCAAGCACGAATAAACTGATCTGTCCTGATTGCTCGAGAACCATTGCCAAAAACCACAGATCGCTAACGTGCAGCGTCTGTGACCTGACCTATCACATCAAGTGTGACAACGCAACACTAAAGGACTTCAAGTTAATTCAGAGAATCGTACCAATGATTTGGAAATGCCCTATCTGCCTGCATGACATTTCGTTTGATCTTAATGAGCTACCATTTGCTTCTCTGTCCGAAGAATCTTTCAACTCTATGATGAGAACAGATCCACTTTACAACGAATCTTCACAATGCGATTCTGAAAGTGATCATTTGCACGAATTTGCCCAAGAAATAAATACCTTGCCAAAAGACTCAAGCGATGAATCTGATCTCGCGCCGATTGACTGGTTTGCTTCGAACATCAATTCATATTACAAGAGAAATTTGAAAATTGGTCACTTAAATGTAAACAGCATTTACGGCAAGGTGGACGAGGTTATAGATTTACTCAACACATGCCGATTCAACATATTTTCGTAGCAGAAAGTAAGATCGATGGTTCTGTTAACAGCTCTTTATTTGCTCATTAGAATATCGTATCCTCCGTACAAGAATGCTGTATCGTGACAGACTAGAAACAATAGAAAACTCCCAAAGCACAAACTCAGCCAAAACGCTAAAAATCTTCAACGTTTACTCAAGTTTAGGCTTATAGAAGATAATGTCACAGTTTTTCAATGACCATGAAATTGAGAGTCCGGGAAGTTAGTTAATCAATTGTGGCCCTGAAAAATTTTGAACGAAAAAAAACTACGAATTTTTAAAAAAATGTTTTTTTTGTGAGAAGGACTCTTAAACGCTGACAAACTTCAACAAACAGCTAAAAAAATAATTTCTATATGTTTGCATCGCTGGAAATCGCGCACATTTACAAGGTCCTAAAGCTTTTTGCTGACTTGCAAGGACCCGTCTGTTATAACGATCCCCAAAATAAAGAGATGAATCTCATAGTTTATTAGATCTAATCGTGTTAAGTTTACTTATCATTTTCGCATAAATTATGGCGTAAGTTTGGAAACCGCTGAATTTCTCGCGTTGGGTCTTTGCGATTTTGGTGAAACTCTCTTCAACGGAAGGCACTAATACCCACTATATGAAAAAATGCCGGCAATAGCAGAATTTCGACTCAGACTCCAAAGAGGCGTGGCACCATAACCAAGTGACATGTACTCCGATCGCCAAAAATTTTATGCTATATTGTAGATTGATCTATATGTTATCCATGCTATATGTTAGACTTACGATCAAAGTAAAGGTAGGGATACCAGAGAGCATTTAAGTAGGATGGTACCCTCACAAAATAACTGGGTCGAGTCACCTTAATTTACATTGTTAGGAAACAAAGACTGCCTAAGCCGAACGTGAAACGTATTGAATACCGATCAATGAAAAACTTTGATGAGTCTGCTTCTCTTTCGTCCTTAAGTGACATCCGATGGGAAACTGCTTACGCCTTCGATGATGTGAATAATACTTGGTGCCGCTGGGAAAGCATTCTCAAGCAAGCTTTTGATCATCATGCTCCACTCAAACGCGTGAACCTTAGAAGCAATCACCTGCAGTGGATCAACCCTTCTATTCAAAAACAAATGCGCATCAGGAATCTTTTGTATAAGAAACATGGTCAAAGCTCTGAAAAGACAGTCAGTTAAAGATTTCTGTTTTGATTCAGCGTCTGTTTCTTCTAAATTCTCGCCTGGTTTATTTTGGAAAAAAGGTGAGACCACTCCTACCAAATAGCAAGTCCAGTGTCTATACAAGTTCAATTTGGTTACTTGAAAATGGCAGAACTGATAATATGTCAGGATTCCTGCATGGGCATTCTTGCTGTTCCGCTTTATTAAAGCTAACTGATGATTGGCGCCAGGCTGTCGACAATGAAAAGGATGTGGCAGTGGTCGCTATAGGCCTATCCATAGCGTTTGACTCGATTTGCCATAATTTATTACTAGCAAAACTGAAAGCTTACGACGTTCACGATTGGGCCACGGGAAGGCGGCTGCCTCTTCGCTGTGGAGTGCCACAAGGAGCCTGCTAGGTCCGCTTTTTTTAAATATCTTTGTGAATGATGTCAATAACTCAGCTGTATCTTCCTGCCTACGTCTGTATGCTGATGACACAACGCAATATATAGCCCATGAGAGCCCCTGCACACTTGAATCTACACTGAATCAGGATATAAAGAGATTAACCCTCTGCTTCCCTGCGAATTACCTGCAAGTAAACGCTACTAAAACACAAGCAATGACACTGGGGAAATCTCAGTACCCATACAATATCTTTATTGGTGATAAGTCCGTCGAAATTGAACCAACTCTCAAGATTCTTGGCGTTACATTGGATCGGGATTTGTCTTTCAAGCCCCACGTGGCAATCATGCCGAAAAAAGCGTATGCTAAGATAGCCGCACTACGGAGGATTAAGCGCTTAGTTCCTTCGGACGTTATCATTTCCTTTTATAAAGCCTACGTGTTACCGCATTTAGAATACTGTTGCCCACTACTTCTGGGCATATCTAAAGCCTTGAAAAATAACGTCGAACGTACCAATCATTATGCGATCAAGACATTCCTGAATCTAGGTAATTCGGCTACCTATGACGTTTGCCTAGCAATGGCTGCTATGGACACGCTTGAGCAAAGACGTACCCTTATTCTATTTTTTAAATGTTTTAAACTAGATGGCCCAAATTATATCTCCCAATTTTTTACACTTCGGTTAACTAAATACAATCTACGAGACAGTCGCTTAAGTGTTGTGCAGCCTCCATATAACAGCCTTGTCATGCACAACTTCTATTTATACATGATTGCCCACATCTGGAATCAACTACCAACTGTCACCAAATCCTCTAACACTTTAGCACAATTTCGTGCTCGCCTGAATAATGTTAATTTCACAGGGTGCCAGTGTGTGAACTGTATATAATTTTGTCTATTTTTACATATTTACATACTCTTGGGCTAGTTTATATATATTTATAAAATAACTGAGATAGTACGCGTGATCTGATTGGTCAAAAACCTATGGTTTATTATACCGATAAACACATAGAAAAAGGCATCCGGACCACGAGCCATAAACAAGACAGGCTATTGATCTTCAAACGATGATTTTAGAAAGGCTAAAAAACAGAACAAGTTACTTACCCAGCCCTTCTTAAAATCAGAAGCGTTCGTTTCCACATTTTATTACTACCATAGCTTTAAAAGTAATAAATTACAAAGCTGGAATGAGCAGTTTACATTTCACGACGATGCCAAATCGCAGAGAAGGACAACAACTGTGTGAATTTCTGGTGTAGAAGGTCTCCAGGAAAACTTAACCATGTGCCAACCAGCAACAAAACCGATAGTTTTAGCATTCTTGATTTATTTTATGTCAAAATTAAATTCCTTAATGAAAGAAATTGTTCCAAAAAGAGATCTCTGATCAAGATATGGTACAAAATCGGCCGGTGTAGGTTGTAAAAAAGTTGCCAACGATGATGAAAGATTTCAGAGTTTCGGGCTGGTTTTTTCCAACATCTGCACAAATTATTCGGTGATATCGATGCCATAACCTACCTCAAACCACCTGACTAGTTAAAAAAATATTATTCACTCGATCATACTTAAACCAACGATTTTGTAACTAGGGCCCATAGGGCTTTATTCTCGCTGAGTTTGAGGTCAGGTCATTTTTTGACTATTTCCTCGTCTAGTTGATATTTACGCGGAGCCGCTCATAAGCTTATTTATGTTTTAAGCCGGCTTGCCGGTGTTTGCTATTTTTCAAGATGAACTCAAGGCAACAAAATCGCTCAGAGCCTTCTTTTTACAGCCAAAATCATAACCAGATTGTTTTAGAAACGTTTAATTTGTATTTGCGGTCAAAAAATGTCTAAAAGGCTTTTCAAACCTGATTCTATTGTAAGTCAGATCATTGTCTCGTGCACAAACTAGCCGCATAAACTAGCTCGATTTTAGGTAACCCGAAAAAAAAACACATCAAAGACAATAATTGCTTAGGCTTACCAGTCGAGATGCTGTTCCTGAAGGCCATTAAGTGAGGCCGCAATCGCTTGGGACTCGTCAACCCTCTTAACCTCGAACAAGGACAAGTGAGTAAGCTCATTTTTGAAAATGACACCATCAGAAATCGGATTTTCAATGACTTTGACAGGTGGTGCATTTCTCAACCAAAAGCGCAATAAACAAACCATGAATTACAGAAGAATCTTGATAGCAGCTGTATTTAATTTTGTACATCCAGAACAAAAAGGCAGTTAAAAACATCACAAGATGACATAAAACTCTGTCAGCTTCAGCTATCAGAAGACAAGTTTCCAGATGCTGCATAAATCTTCCGCATGAACTCAAATTTTGACCTGTCAGTGTATAAAAATTGGACGTAGAGCGTGATCAACGCGTGACTATGGTGAGAAAAGTCAAAGGCATGTAAGAGCCGGTTGAATTTTTGCGTCAATTTAAAATCAAAATTTTAAAGGTGCGACTAATGAACACGGCCTATTTCATATGAATTTTGAAAAATTGAATTTGAGCCTGCGATCATTTGAAAAGTAACAACTTGTCAGCGGATAACTTTAACTTCACTCAAACTCAGTGGGTCGGTATCTGAGCCCCCAATACGGTCAGGCGATACTGATCAGCGGATAGAACAAAGTGTGAAATTAAACATTGGTATGCCTGTGGTGCGGACGGACGAAAGGCTGGGCGGTCGGTGTACGGTCACGTGATTGCCAAATTTTCTAGGATGGGTAGATTTTCTAAGCTATGGGGCTCCGCTCAAAATGCAGAATTGAGCCCGTGATCAAATAAAATATCAGGGAAAAACTTTAAAAAATACGTGACCGTAATGCAAAAATTTTTTTTGGGATCACTTCCTTGAGAGCTTGGAAACTAAGCTTAGAATAGTAACCAAGCCTTCCCATTTAGTTTCCAATCCTTTCTGAGCCATTTGTATGCAATGTCAAGTTTAGCTGGCAGCCGAAGTCTTATTGCAGTAAAGCTGGAAACTTTTACATTTAATACCGAAAGGTAAGCCGTAGTCAGTGTTTTAATATTTGTTTTAATATTTTTTATCTTCTCTTTTTGCTTGATAAATTTACAATGTGCATTGTCCAACCCCTTTTAAGCATGAAATAAGCTTAAAATATAATAATAAACTTCTAAGTTCTACGAAATTAGACTTTAGTTGTTTTTTCTGCTATTGTATAACCTTGATCCTGACAAACTAAGACAAGCTGATTTCAATCACTGTTGAAAAATTATCGGCATCTGTATAGATTGGAGTTGAAATTTAATTTGAGGTGATATACACGACCCCA